ACTTACATGTTTTTCTGACGCGGGAAGGATCTTAACCGATCTTTTCTTCAAAGAATCTTTAAGACGCAAATCTCTAATTAGCCCAATTCTTAATAAACAAACCAAAGATATCGTGGATCAAACCGAAGTAGGTAGTTTTTTATTTGGCAACGACTTGTCGGGAAAAATAAAATCGGCCAAATTAATTTCCAATGCGGCGAAAGACCTAAAAGCCCCATCTTCAGGTACTTCGCAAAAATTCACGAAGTTTTACAGGGGAGGTAAGCGATCCTTTCCGACAACACGACAAACTTTGTCGGAAAACAGACAACGCCCGATCCGTCGTCCGGGGAACACAGATCAGCGCAAGGGGCACCCCAAAAAGGAGTGGACGAGCCAACGGGACCGATTTCAAAGGAGAACGTAAACAAGGTGAGTTTTCCTTTAGCCGGAAGGTTAAAGTGCTTTTTCGAGGCCTGTGTAAAAATTACCTCTAATTCGGTTGTCCTAGAGTGGACACAAGGGGTTAAGATACCCCTATTAGAGACCCCGATACAGACCCACCTTCCGACAAACCTGGTTGTTCACGCCTCAACAAGGAACGATCTCCAACTAGAGATAAATAATTTATTAAATTTGGGAGCTATTCAGATTTCTGAAAGCTCATCCATTGATTTCTTTTCGCCAGTTTTTTTAGCCAGGAAACCAAACGGCAAGAATAGATTTATTCTCAATCTCAAACTTTTCAATACCTATGTCCGGACACCACATTTTAAAATGGAGGATTTCCGAACTGCCTCCAAGTTAATACAGAAAGGGTCTTTCCTTACTTCGATTGATTTAGAAAGTGCTTACTTTGTGGTTCCTATTTGTTCAGAACACAGGAAATATCTAAAATTCCAGTTCAATGACGTGGCATATGAGTTCACATGCTTGCCGTTTGGATTATCCTGCGCTCCATATATTTTTACAAAATTTTTAAAACCTGTTCTTTCTTTTTTGCGCGCCGAAGGAGTAGTAATTGTCAATTACCTAGATGACTTTCTTATAATAAGCGATTCTTATACAGAAAGTGAACGACACACTTCTTTTTGTCTTAAGGTATTAGAATCTCTAGGGTTTGTCATAAACTATGAACAAAGCGTCTTAGTTCCTAGAAATCAGTGCAAATATTTAGGGTTTATCTTTGATACTTCTTTATTGCGCTTATCATTACCAATCGACAAACAAGTTCACATAAAAAATTACTTAGTTCCTTTTTGAGTCGTTCCAGCTGTAAAATCAAAGATTTTGCACGCCTTATCGGAACACTGACCGCTGCTTGTCCGGCAATTAAATATGGGTGGTGTCATACAAAATCTTTGGAAGAAGCAAAATTAAAAGCACTAAAAACTTCGAATTTTGACTTTAATGCAAAAATGCAGATTCAAGGGGCTGGTTTGCGTTTAGATCTGGTCTGGTGGGTGTCAAAGATTTCTACTTCTCACAACGATTTCAAAAAAGACATTTTTGAAATGGAAATATTTACTGATGCGTCACTAACGGGATGGGGAGCATGCGCAGGAAAAGATAAAGTGCGTGGATGGTGGACACTACATGAACAAACGCTTCATATCAATGCACTAGAATTGATGGCTGTATTTAATGGAATTTCTGCGTTTACTCCCCATCTTAGGAACCTAAATATTCTCATAAGGTCTGACAACACTGCAGCCAATTTCAGAAATGTTAATTAAGTTAATAATAAAACAAAACATTCAACATTCACTTCTTATGGACATAAATATCAGAATGCAGAAATTGGAAGAAAGAATATCTTTGTTGACACCATCTGTACATGAAATAAAAGCAGACTCTATCTTTCTTAAATACGATTTTCCTTTAACTGGACATCAATATTTAGCCGAATTTGAGATTGAAATGGCAGCAAACGGAGATTTGTTTAAAAAAACGGTACATTATAATGATTGCGCCTTTTTAATGATTTATGTGTGTTGTAGGTTCATGAGCTGTCGAGACTAGGTGGTACCGAGGAATATAGTTTCGTAGCCAGAACATTAGGGAGACTAATAACCAACAAACTGGCTAGTGAGTTTAGTTATCTGGGAAAGCGAACCAAAAAACCATTTAACAAATTAACATTAAATAAACTTGTAATAGGTATGTAATTAATTGGTGCAAATAAGATCTCATTAATACCATTTTTCTTTTTAGAAGCTGGGATGCTACTATTCAAAAACAGTTCCCAAGACATTTTTGAGAAAGCAATTTCAAAATGGCTTAAAAGAGCAAAGGAAAGGAAATGAATTTTTTGTTACATTGTTTTATATCTTGGACGTTTAGATTTTGAATAGAGATTATTTTTGACGTAGCTGTTTGATTTGTTAATCTAATACAGTAAGACGAATGGTGCATATAACTATTATACCTTGAATGGATGTCCATAGGACCTACATTATGTAGGTTCATAGGACGTTACGGTATGTACGTACTTAAACGGTCCATATCGTTGACATTCGGACTTACAATGGACGTCCATTGTACAGATTCTGTGTATATGCGTACGTACTATGTTGGTACATAAGGTCCACATGTGTACATACAATGTACGTTTAATGCACGTCAGTGTGTTGTGTGGGTGAATTCTTTTTAATTTTGGCCCTATTTTTTGATATCATGTTTATGGAATTACTTCCTTAGAATCATTGTGTTTATTGTATTTTTTTTTCTGTTTGTATGTATGTTGTAACCCTTTTTGTTTATTGCACAAGGTGTGCACTGTGAGATAAGAAATTGGTTACGTGCATCGGCAGCTCTAGCGGATATCCTCAGCGGCTTTTTGGTTCTTGAACGTAGGTAATTGGCATTTTTGGGCGCCACTCAACCTGAATACTTTTAAATGAACTACGGGATTGAGACCGTACAAAGAGTGATTGAAAAACAGGTTCACAATTTATTTAAACAGCTGATAACAGTAAGTGATAGGGTTTAACGTTAAAGGTTAGAAGGGTTAGTAGTTTGAATTTATAAATTTGAATAAGTTTGAGGAACGAAATCAATTTAGCTATTGTTTGAAAGTACCTATGTGATGATTGGAGATAACTTGCCTCCTCTTCGGTGTGTGGTGTGCCAAGCGCAGCTTAAAGAGATTGATGGATCGATACGTGATAAAAAATTGGATTATACTACAGTACAGATGTAAGTAACTTGGAGATTTTCCAGTTGGTGGTGTAGATTTAAATGCTTTTCGCAAATGAAATGTCCAATTAAAAAAATCCTCAATGAGGGTTTTTTCGATCACAAGAAATGTAATGCTTTAACTATTCAATAAATAATCGATTTAATCATTACCTCAATGAGGGTTTTTTTTGGTCCCACTGAGATAATGTAAATGCTTTATAATATAATTCAAAGTTGACGGTAAGTGTAATTATAAATCGGCTCAGATCTATGGGCGACAATTCGATGAATTATATCTTTCATTCATTCTCAGTTTCGATGCCCCAAAAAGTCCAACGTTTCCGGCCAACGCACAAATCGCAATCCTCTCATTTTTAAAGATACCAATTTATCAGCGCCCAACACTCATGCGCTTCGATATTAATACGGGCTAGATCTTTGCATATTGCATTCCCAAACGTTATGTTACCAAAATGACATGGAGCATGAAGAAATAAATGCTACAATGTTATAGTTATATTGTTCTTGTTTGTATATTATATTCATGTAATTACTTACTTAGAATCATTGTGTTTATTGTATTTTTATCTGTATGTATATATCTTATAGTTATATTGTTCTTATTTATATCATGTTCACGCATTTACTTTGATAGGATTATTTGTGTTTATTGTATTCCAAATGTATTGATTATTGTTCATTGTATTTCTTATGTATTAGATATATGAGCATTTGTATTGTTCCTACTGCATTCATTGATTGTTATTGAAAACTGTATTCTTTCAATGGGGGGTGTATGTTTAAATTTAGCTCTTCCCCCCTCCCAAAGTTACTGTACATTCCAACCCTTACTTAGGTAAAACAGTCTTACAAGCTCCGTCAAACGATTAACAGTAACACGATACAGTCCGCTATTAAATATTTATAAACATTTCGGTATTTGATTTAATTACTCGAGTTGTCGAAGAACGAAATAACAAAAAACAATAACATTACTCCTGATCGTCTCTTTAATGCAGATGAGACGTCTCACACTGTAGTTCAAAAACCACAAAAAGTAACCGCTCAAAGAGGCAAGGTGGGTGCCATAACATCCTGCGAAAGAGGTCAAAATGTTACAGGAATGTATGCGATGAGTGCTAGCGGAGTGTTCATTTCTCCAATGCTTATATTTGCTAGGAAAAGAATGAAAGAAAGCTTGGTGTATGGTGCTCTTCCTGGGCGATATTTAGGTGTCCGGATAAAGGCTGGATGGATGCCGATGTCTTCCACTATTGGCTAAGCGTTTCATTCATCATATAAAACCATCTAAGGAAAAAAAGGTTTTGTTAGTATTGGACGGACATAGCAGCCATACCCAACGTTTACAAGCAATTGAAGCAATGTAGTCATAATGCTTTCTTTTCCGAGTCACTGTACTCACAAATGCAACCTCTAGATATCGGATTTTTTAAACCTCTTAACACCTATTTTTCGGCAGCTATAACTACAAGGTGGCACCAGTTCCCTGGTAGGGCGTTAAACGTAGATGCAATCAGTTCTCTGGTGGGAATAGCATTTCCTAGTGCTGCAACGGTGGAAGTGGCTATTAACAGTTTCCGAAAGACAGGTCTGTGGCCTCCAGTTCGCTATGTTTTTACTGACGCGGACTTTGCAGCTGCAGAAGTGTTAGATCGCGCACTGGAAATTAATGTAGTCCATGACCCAAATTATTCTGGTGATTCGCATTTGTCAAGTTCAACGTCAGGAGATGCATCAAATAATGATGGAGTTGAAAATTGTGACCCTGCAGAGTGCAATTTAGAAAAAAAAGAACAAGAAAAAGAAGGGCGGTACCATCTGAATGGAAGCGAAACCGTGCTAAACGTCTGAGGAATAGTGGCAAATCATACAAAACGCTAGGCAATAAATTATTAGTGCCTGCAAAGCAAATAAAACCACCCTGCTATGATTCGAAATGTAAACACTAAATTTACAGAGGAGAAACACTTGATTTATTTGACGGTTAATTGGAAACATGTCCCGAGATTGTTAAGCAACGTACTTATATTTTAACTTAATGGCAAGAAATCAATCCTAAATATAGATCACTCGACAAAGCTACATGCAGAGACATAAAACCATGGCATTTTATTTGACAAGAAGGGTAAGATGTGTGCAACATTTTTTGTAGCTACATTGGGTATTCACTAACCGCTGTATTCACAAGTAAATATCTAAAATCAAAGATAATACGTTGGGAGAAGATAACAGGGGAAGGCACAAAAACCACACAGGTTTCTTTCGAAATTAAAAATTGCTTTCGCTCCCATGTTTCTTCAATTCCAACAATACGCTACTATACTAAGTAGTGATTATATCATATTTATTTTAATTTGTTGCCAGTACATTCATCACTAAATAGTATGTATGTATGTATGTATGTGTACAACATTAACAACACGTACGCAAAAATGTGTCAAATGGTTACAAAATTATAAAAAGTAAAATCACATTAAAATCTAAACATGGACATGCAAATATATAAAATTTTTAGACAAAGAAATGGGGAACAATATATAGGAGTAATAAAAAACACCTAAAAGACTTATTTTTTTCTTAAAAATTCATCTAAGTGATAATTAGTCTGTTTAAGCAAAAACAGTTTAAGTGTTTGCTTAAATCTTTGATAGGACTTGAGTTCTTTAATATTACAGGGTAACGCGTTAAAAATTTGGCAGGCACGAAATAACAAATTTTTTTGAAACAGCACTGCCCTGTGTTGACCAGGGTTCAATAACGTCCTATGACGGGTATTGTACCTATCTTGAGTTTTTATCAAACATGCTCTCTTTTTATACGCATAGCAACAAATCTCCAAAATGTACGTATCTACTATTGTTAGTATGCCTAATTCTTTAAATAACTGTCTACAAGAAGTTTTAGATGGTAAAGAGTAAATTATTTTTATGACTTTTTTGCAGTAGTAATATACGTTGCACATGAGCACTGCCACTGTGATGACGTCACACGCCCTTTTTGTTAGGGAAGGAGGTCATGTTCAATTATCCAAACACGTTTGATCTGCATGCTTTGTCTTATGAGTGAATATTATTGAAGTGATTTTATAAATATTGTAGTGTTTTTAACAGTTACAAAGTGTTGAAACTTGAAGAGAGTACCTTAAACATTACGTTAAAAATTTCGTTTCATTCCCTTCAGTGTTAAAAACATTGAATATTGTTTTTATTCAAATAACGTGGTTATTAGTACAAAAACTTATTGTATTTTACGGATCGTGTTTTTATAGCTATTAACATTCCAAGGTATGTTATGGCTAGCATAACAGCCGCGGATGTCAGGTTAAAATCCGAGCGCAGCGAGGATTGTAAGACATCTAAGGCTGTTATGATTGCCATAACATCAGCGGTTTGTTCAATAGTTTATCGGTTGCAGGCACGCAATCCTCTACTTTTAGACAATTTCGTAAATTTGATAACCAAACAATTCCATCGTAATCATCAAAGTTGCCGTAATGTCGGTTGCTATGTTAAAATTTGGTTGTTATGGTTGCGAGTATTGCTAATCAACAAAACCTAATTTTTCATCTGATTAATTACAAAATGAGTACTGTACATTTGCCTCAAAACGTACGCGAAAGTGCTAACGAAGCTCTTAGTAAGTGTCTAATTCCAACTAAATCGAAAGATCGATATGAAAAATGTTATGCAGATTTTCAGGATTGGGGAAAAGACAATCAATTTCTCATGTGGAAGGTACAAACATGTCAGAAACTAACGTATAAGTATGCTTGACTTGTAATGCTTTTTTCTAGGTAGCAGCCGTTTTTGGTTTATTTGGGGCTACACTATGGGATGAAATTTACAATTTGGGCGCAAATGATGTTAAAAGTGAAGATGTCCTTATTGTTACAATTAACAAATCAAAAACCTACACCTAAATCTAGATTTTTCATTCTCATCCCACAGGACTCCACTAATTATGTGGAAATCGTCAAAAAATATATGGGTTTGAGACCACAACATACGAAACAGAACCATTTCTTGGTTTCTACAATTGCGGTAAATGTAGTACTCAGAGGATTTTTCCTAATAAAGTTATAACTATAGTTTTGTTTAATGGTACGGTAAAATATTACACTGCTCATTTGTCATATTAACATACTCACTTG